AATATAACACGAGGAGTTTTGCAACTGGGTTAACTACATCGAGTGTGAGGAACAAAACCATCGTACGAGAGACTGACAGCTCTTATTAATACTATCAAGTATGTGCTCTGGTACATTGAGTGTGTGGAACAAAAACATCGAAGGGAGTGAGAAAAAAAGAAAAAAGAAAAAAAGGGCTCATAGCATTTTTTTTTGTTGGGCTTTCAATAATATTTTCCTTAGCGCCGGTGACTTGTTCAGTCAGATTTTCACGAGGAAAAGAAATAATAAAAAGAGTACATGCGACAATCAAGACAGGACAGAAGTCGGCCTGTCAGGTCGCTGTTCTTCTTTTGTTTGTTTCTTCTCAGCATTTTAACGTTAAATCACATCATTTCAGAATCCCAACACCCACTCACTCTCCACTTTCCCTCTACATTCTAATCACCATTTCCTTGGGTGTAGTCATCACGGGACATTATTTTATTTAGGTCACGACTATATATGGATATATATATATATATGTATCACCATTTCCTTGGATGTGATTATAGCCGGATATTATTTTATTTAGGTCACAAATATATATATCACTATTTCTTTTGGTGTGGTTATCGCGGGATATTACTTTATTTAGGTCATAAATATATATGGATATAAATTGAAAAAGTATGGTATAGTTGATTTTGTAACGAATTGTAACATCATAATGATTAAAAAAGAGAGATTCTTTTATATTAAATTTTTTTTTAGTTAAATTGTTAAAGATTTTAATGTTATAATTTATAACATAAAATTCTGCATGTATATATATATGTAAAATATCACTATTTATTTGGGTGTGATTCTAGTAGGAAGTTATTTTTATTTAGATCACAAATATATATTTGTGCATATATATGTATTTAAAATATTAATTTAATTTAATTATTAAAAATAACTAAACCAACTTAATGGGTTACATAATTTACCATTAAATTTAAAAATTTAGATTTAAATAATTGAGAGTTTAATTCTCAACAACTATTTATAAACTTAA